TTTCCTCCCCCCTCCCCCACTTCCAAGTCCTGTATTTGTCTAATTTCACACTCTCATTATGTCTGTCTGTGAGAATGGAGCATCCTTCCTTATTGCCAGACTCTCCTAGACTGCGCACCTAAGCAAATCCCTCCTCTTCCTGGGAAAACAGAAACAGGAAGCCTGGAGAAGGAACCCGGAACTCTCCACCCCAACCCTCCTCCCTCTTCATTGGGGGTCTTTGCTGGTGGATTTTCTCTGGGCTCTTGCATCTTCAGCATCTTCGCTCTCAAGCATTTTTTACCTCTTCTGTGGCTGAACCACTTGCCTTCCCCCCAGTGCCCCATCAGGCTGCCACTCTGTTGTCTTTCTCCCCCCCCCCACAGACACACTTAGATTGTGGGTTTGGTTTCCTGTCACTAGTCTTACCCCACCCCAGCCCATTCAGCCTGCTGCCACTCCTGCCATCTAGAAAATGCAGATCTGACCATGTCTTTCCCATGCCTAAAATACTTCAGCCACTGCCTTAGAATTTTTTTACTTGGGGGGCACCTGGGTGGCTCAGGTCATGATCTCGAGGTTCGTGAGTTTGAGGCCCACGTCGGGTACCATGCTGACAGAAGCCTGCTTGGGCTTCTCTCTCTCTCTACCCCTTCCCCACTTGCACTTTCTCTTTCTCTCTCTCTCCAAATAACTAAACTTTAGAAAAAAAAAGAATTTTTTTTTACTTGCCTTTTATTTTTTTGTAACAGCTTTAAGATACAATTCAGATATCAGATATCATATAATTCACCCATTTAAAGTGTACAATTCAGTGGTTTTTAGTCTATTGACAGAGTTGTGCAGCCATCACCACGGTTAATTTAGAACATTTTCATCACTGCGCAGAGAAATTCTGTCCCCCTTAGCTATCTCCCTCCCATCCCTCTGTTCCCCGCCAGCCCCTGGCAACCACTTCAGCTGTGGATTTGCCTCTTCTGGACATTTCGTATAAACAGAATGATACAATATGTGGTCTTTCTGTGACAGCTTCTTTTACTTAGCATGGACTTTTCAAGAGCCATCTGATGCTTGAAGCAGAGTGACTCCCATTTGCTCTTCGGTTTAAAGTCAAACTCCCCACGCATTATAAGTCCTGCGTGGTCTGACGCCTCTGTACCTCTCCCGTCTGATTGCTCATGGCTCACTACCTTGTACCTCTGCTCCCGCTGAACTGACCCTACACAAACGTGCCACATTGTTCCCTTCCTGAAGCGCCTGCCCCATCATCTTCTTTTTGGCTGGCTAACTCATGTCCCGGGTCTCCTTCGTTTCTTGACATAGTGCTGTGTCCTTTGGGAAGTTAGTTCTGATCCTCTGTGCCTTCCTGTGTGCTGCCAGAGCCCATCAGGCTTTCTGTTTGTCGGATGGGGCCCCAGCTGCCAGTGGCTCATCTGTGTCCACCTCTGGACACAGGGCTGTAGCTCTGGGGAGCAGGGTCAGTGTCCACTGATCCGTTCAGGATGCTCGGCCCGCACAGAGTGGGCACTCCCTGAGTTCTGACCCTTGGAGCTCCTTGAAAGAGAAAGTGAGCCTGTCCTTCTCTTCTTCTTTGTGATCTGGAATCTGCTCTCCCTGCTCCCTGAACTCTCCTAAGGTCACCAGCCACTTTATCGTTTGTCCTCTTTTTCCTCAGTCTTGCTGCGTCCTCTGCGACTGTTAAATACCTCCATGGACGTCCCTCCTCCTGTTTCACCTGGGACACAACATTGCCTTTGTCCTCCTCCCACATATGCAGCGTTCTTTAATTCTCTCCTCTGGCTCCTCAGCCTCTGAGCCCTTAAGGATGGGTCCTCCCCCAGTTCAGCATACAGATTTTTCTCTCTGCTTTGTCCTCTACTCCTGCAGCCTCACCTGTCACCTGCATGCAGGTAAATGACTCCTAGTCTGTCTGTGTCACTTGGAGCCTTCTCCTGAGTCTCACATGTGTTTCCAACAGTGCGACTGACGTCCTCACCCACATAGACTTCCCGTGCCATACAGCCCACCTGCCCGTGGGTCACCATGGTGTTAAGCCCCGAGTGCTCTAAGGACTTCTACTCTGGTAGATTCTTGGCACCCGCCTTACCCAGTGTTCCCACCTCATCTCTCTCCACGCTTAGTGCTTTCACTCAGTCTACTTTGTAAATACATGTTGAATGCCTACTGCTGCCAGATAATTTTTCTAAAAGCTTAGTTTTTTTCATTTTTTTTTCTCAGCTCAAAGCCTTCAGGACTTCACCTTATACATGGCTAGAATGAAAAAGACAAGAAATAACAAACATTGGTGAGGATGTAGTGGGAAAAGAACCCTACTGCACTGTTGGTGGGAATGCAAACTGATGCAGCCACTGTGGAAGACAGTATGGAGGTTGTTCAACATTTAAAATAAGAAATACCATATGATCCAGTAATTCCGCTACTGGGTATTTACCCAAAGAAAGCAAAAAAACTAATTTGAAAAGATATATGCATCCCTGTGCTTATTGCAGCATTATTTATAATAGCCAAGATACGGGGGCACCTGGGTGGCTCAGTTGGTTAAGCGTCCGACTTCGGCTCAGGTCATGATCTCATGGTTCGTGGATTTGAGCCCCAGGTCAGGCTCTGTGCTGACAGCTCAGAGTCTGGAGCCTGCTTCAGATTCTGTGTCTCCCTTTCTCTCTGTCCCTCCCCCACTTTTGCGCCCCCCCCCAATAAATAAACATTTAAAAAATTTATAATAGCCAAGATATGGAAGCAACCCTGAGTGTCCATCAATAGATGAATAGATAAAGATGTGGTATATATACATAATGGAATATTACTCAGCCATAAAAGAAGAATGGGATCTTGCCATTTGCAACAACATGGATGGACCTAGAAGGTATTATGCTAAGTGAAATTAGTCAGACAGAGATATTGGTGATAGATGGTAGCTTCACTTGTGGTGAGCACAGCATAATGCATAAACTTGTTGAATCACTAGGTTATGCACTTGAAACTGAT